CAGTATTTCAAGCAAACGGAAATCAGAAGAAAGAAGGGGTTACAATCTTATTTTCAGATACAAGTGGATTTAAAGCAACTACAGTTAAGGAAGGCAAAGATGGACACTTTATACTGGTCAAAAGAACAATACAAGAAGATATTTCAATTTTAAATATTTATGCACCCAACTTAAACGCTCCCAGATTTATGAAATAGACCTTCATGGGTCTGAGCAATATGATATCCCATAACAGCATAATAGTTGGGGACTTTAATACCCCTCTGACAGAACTGGACAGATCCTCTAAAGAGAAACTAAACAAAGATACAAGGGACTTAAATGTGACCCTAGAATAAATGGAATTAATATACATATACACAACACTTCACCCCCAAGCTAAGGAATATACATTTTTCTTGTCAGCCCATAGTACATACTCCAACATTGACCACATCCTAGGATACAATTCAAACCTCAGATAAATTAAAGGAAGAGAAATTACACCTTGTGTATGCATTTTTCTTGTCAGCCCATGAAGCATACTCCAAAATAGACCACATCCTACAACATGAATCAAATCTCAGCAAAATTAAAAGATTAGAAATTATACCTTGTATCTTCTCAGACCACAAGGCAATAGAAGTGGAACTCAACTCCAACAAAAATGTTCATCCTCACACAAAGACTTGGAAATTAAAGACTTGAAGATAGTTGGATTCAGGAAGAGATAAAAGAGGAAATTGTTAAATTCTTCAAACATAAGGACAATGAAGACACAAGTTACCAAAATCTATGGGATACAGCAAAAACAGTCTTAAGAGGGGAATCTATCGCATTAGATGCCTACATTCATCAGCTCTTCGGAGAATAGTGATATATTTTCTTTTCCATGTAGTAAAATTAGATCCTTGTCCATGAGGGTGGTGATCACATTTATTATAAAGTTAATATCAAATCTATTTTGTAAATCAAAATGTGACTGATGCATACTGATCTCTCTGTAGTAATTCTTAAAAATAGTTATAGTAATGCTGCTCCCAATGTCAGTTTCTTGGGATAGTTAAATCCCATTACACAGCCTGTGTTTTCTAAATTTCTTTATGAACTATTTACATGTACAATTAAATTGGGCAATGGCCACTTAGTCTAGGCCAAACATTACGATTAGCAGTGCATGGTTTAACTGTTATGTGTTTTTTTTTTTTTTTGAGGGATACTTCAATTTACTATTTGAGCTAAAATATTTCACTTATAGTGTAAGAAATAGATAATATTAAATTGCCAGTTTATGACAGATTCTGCTAATTTGGGTTTTTTGGGTTATGTTTTATTAGAAGACACAATAAATCAATTGCATACTATTTTTACCTTTTTTATGTTTTTGTATGAGAAACTTACATGCAAAATATATGCTTTGAATATATGCTTTGTGGACACTTTGCTACTGTGTTGAATAAGAAAGTGAGTTCAAAAAAAGATAAAATATGCTGTCTTTAAATAGGATGGATCAGGGTTTGAAGGGAGGGCCTTCTTCTATTGGCTTGAAATTGATATTATTTATTAACATTTCTGAGAAATTACTAGTAGGAACAGAATTGTGGCACACCTCTTAAATTCATCATGATGGTTTAGTATACCAAGGCTGCAGTCTCCAGCCTCTGGGCTATGGACTAGTTCTGGTCAATGGCCTGTTAGGAACCAGCCTCTCAGTAGGAGGTGAGCAAGCAAAGCTTCGTCTGTACTTACAGCTGCTCCTCATCACTCTCTCATCACCACCTGAGCTCTGCCTCCTGTTAGGTCAGCAGCTGCATGAGATTCTCCCAGGGGTGAGAACTCTACTGTAAACTGCACATTCAAGGGACCTGGGTTGTGTGTTCCTTGTGAGAATCTACTGCGTGTGATCTGAGGTGGAGTGAGGGGGTGATGCTAGCCCTAAGACTGTCTAGTTCAGGGGTCCTCAAACTTTTAAAACAAGGGGCCAGTTCACTGTCCCTCAGACCATTGGAGGGCCCCGGGACGAGTCAGCTGCTAAGCAGGACAGGCAGTGGTGGCAAAAACACCCAGCAGGCCGGATAAATATCCTAGGTGGGCCGCATGTCGCCCATGGGCCGTAGTTTGAGGACACCTGGTAGTTGCAGGAAAGCAAGCTCAGGGCTCTGATTCTGCATTATGGCGAGTTGTATATTATTTCATTATGTATTATAATGTAATATTAATAGAAATAAAGTGTACAGGCTCAGTGCCTGTGGCTCAAGCAGCTAAGGCGCCAGCCACATACACCTGAGCTGTCAGGTTTGAATCCAGCCCAGGCCCACCAAACAACAATGATGGCTACAACCCCCAAATAGCCGGGTATTGTGGTGGGCACCTGTAGTCCCAGCTGCTTGGGAGGCAGAGGCAGGAGACTCGCTTGAGCCCAGGAGTTGGAGGTTGCTGTGAGCTGTGATGATGTCATTGCACTCTACCCAGGGTGACAGCTTGAGGCTCTGTCTCAAGAAAAAAAAGAAAAAAAAAAGAAATAAAGTATATGGTAAATGTAATACACTTGAGTCATCCTGAAACCATCCCCTAATTCCCCTGGTTTGTGGAAAAATTGTCTTCTGTAAAACCAGTCCCTGGTGCCAAAAAGGTTGAAGATTTCTAAACCCAGGAATCATCTGGGAAATTGTGATCAGTGAAGAGTCTATGTTTTTTCTCCTCTTCTCTTGACTACTTTTGGATTTATTTATTTATTTATTTTTGAGACAGAGTCTCACTTTGTCACCCTTGGTAGAGTGCCATGTTGTCACAGCTCACAGAAACCTCAAACTCTTGGGCTCAAGCGATTCTCTTCCCTTAGCCTCCCAAGTAGCTGGGCCTACAGGTGCCCATTACCATACTTGGCTATATTTTTTGAGATGAGGTTTTACTCTGGCTCAAGCTGGTCTTGAACTCCTGAGCTCAGGCAATCCACCTGCCTCAGATGGATTCTTCACCTGCCTCCCAGAATGACTTTCCTTTTTTGGTATACTATATGTGTGTGTGTGTGTACATATATTCACTGTGCATGTATATATATATGTTTTATACATATATTCATATACTTATAAAAACTATGTTTTTTATATATACATATACATATGTATGTTATGTATATATACGTTATATATATATGTATATACACACACAATGTTAAAACTATAACATGTACATAAAATGTGTTATTTTAACTATTTTAAAATGTACACTTCAGTAGCATTAATTTCACTCACAATTTGTGCAACCATCACCACTATTCTAAAGCTTTTTTATTCATCATCCCAAACAGGAACGCTGTACCCATTAAATAATAACTTTTCATTCTCTTCCCACCACAGCCCCATCCTTCTGTCTTTATGAGTTTGTCTAGAAATTTCACATAAGTGGAATCATAAACTATTTGTTTTTTAGATCTGCCCTACTTTACTCAACATATTTTCAAGGTTCCATCTGTGTTGGAGCACGTACCAGAACTTTATTCCTTTTGAAGTCTGAGTAATCATCCATTGTTATGTAGATACCATTTAGTTCATCTGTTGATGGGCAGTTGGGTTGTTTTACCTTCTGGTCCCTGTTTTCTTCTGACGTTTGATAGTTGTAGGTTTTATATTTAGGTCTTTGAATTAATTTTTGCATACAGTGTAAGGTAAGGATCTGATTTCATCCTTTATCTGTGAATATCCCGTGTTCTCAGTACCATTTGTTGAAAAAGATGTCTTTCTGCCATTGAATGATTTTGGCACCCTGGTTGAAAATCATGTGAACATGTGTGGTTGATTTCTGTTCCATTGGTCTGTACGTCTGTTTTGGTTCACACAGCTTTGAGGTAAGTTTTGCAGTTTTTGGCAGAGGCCAGGTTTGAACTCGCCTCCTCCGGTGTATGGGGCTGGCATCCTACTCCTCTGAGCCATAGGCGCTGCCCTTGAGGTAAGTTTTGAAATCAGAAAGTCTGAGATTTCCAACTTTGCTTTTCTTTTTCAAGACTATTTTGGAGATTCCATATGAATTTTAGAACAGATTTTTCTTTTTCTTTTTTTTTTGAGACAGAATCTCACTATGTCACCCTTGGTAGACAGCTGTGGTGTCACAGCTCACAGCAACCTCTAATTCTTTTTTTTTTTCTTTTTGAGACAGAACTTCAAGCTATCCCCCTGGTAGAGTGCTATGGCATCACAGCTCACAGCAGCCTCCAACTCCTGGGCTCAAGCGAGTCTCCTACCTCAGCCTCCCAAGTAGCTGGGACCACAGGTGCCCACCACAATGCCTGGCTAATTTTGGGTGCAGCCATCATCATTATTGTTTGGCGGGCCCGGGCTGGATTTGAACCTGCCACCTTAGGTGTATGTAGCTGATGCCTTAGCCACTTGAGCCACAGGCACTGAGCCCAACCTCTAATTTTTGGGCTTAAGCAATTTTCTTGCCTCAGCCTCCCAAATAGCTGGGATTATAGACACCCACCACAACACCCAGCTATTTTTGTTGTTGTTGCAGTTGTCATTTTTTTTTTTAGCTAGCCTGGGCCAGGTTTAAACCCACTGGTCTTGGTCAATGTGGCCTGTGCTGCAACCACTGTGCTATGAGGGCTGAGCCAAGAATGATTTTTTAATTTCTACAAAAAAAAAAGTCATTTGAATTTAGATAGGAATTGCACTATAGATCTCATTGGGTAGTATTGACATCTTAACAATCTTTTTTTTTTTTTTTTTTTTTTTT